ACAACAAGAAGGGTGATGCAGACAGCAGCAGCAGTATCAGCAGTTCTGTGTGGATGCGTGTACCACTACTGATTGTGGTTACACTGGCCTGTATTCTTGTGTGCTGATTGTAGTGATGGTGGTGTGATGGTGTGACTCAGGTCATCCTTTGTTTTCTCTTTTCTTTTTGCATACATCCACACTAAAGTCTAACTAATCTTTCACCTGTTAGGAGTTTTCTTTTCTTTTTCTGTTTCTTAATGTTAATGTGTTTTGTGTGTTTTTGCTCTCTTTGTGTGTTTATCCTATAATAATTATTATTGCTACTCCATTGTGTGTGTCTGTGTTCTTGGAGACTGTGTGTGTGTGTGCCTGGGCTTGCACTGTAATGAGAATGATGATGAACTTTTTTTCGCAGGTAAAAGAATGAAATAATAATAAGAGATGAATTTATATTTATAATTGCATATAGACACATAAAGACTTACACCCATAGTTGGTATATTTCTGTGTTTATTGGATAATTGGGCTAATTATTGATATCTTTTTGTTTGCTTGTTGTTTGCTGGGGACGTTGTGTTCTTTGCCCTGAACCCTTTTGGTTGTTTGTTTTCTGTAGAGAGAAATAAGAATAACTGATACACCTTCTCATTCGTAATTGCATATTAACTTAATTATACCGAATGATCTGTGTTATTCGTGCGTTTGATGTGACAGTTATTCTTGATCTTAATTTGTTTTTTCTTGCCTTTGTTTCATCACTGTGTTTGTGGTGAGTGTTTATTGATTTCTTTTTGTTTAAGCTGGTGGCGTTGTTATGTGTAACTGATACTTAAAGTATGCTCTTAAAGTTTTGTGACTCTCTGTCTATTTAGTATTGAGTGATTGTTTTTATTTTATTTTCTTTTTCTTTTCTTCTGTTGTTAGGTGACCTAAAACAAGAAAAATTGATCTTGCTTTGTTGACGATGAATCGTGTGCTGTTTTTTCTTCTCTTGGTGCTGAGCGTTGCTTGTGTGGGTGCTTTTGCTGGTGTGGAGGCTACAGATGGGGCCGCTGGAGAACTTGATCCCTTAAGGCCTCCTGCTGGTGTTGGTGCTGGTGGTGATGAAGCTTGTCCTTCAGAGACGACGGGTCCAGAGTGTAAGAATAACACTAGTGGACCTGAAGATGCTCCTCCTAATGATTGTACGGAAGTTACAGGGACAGGCAAATGCGCAACTACGGGTAGTGTCACTCAAAAGAATTGTACTCCTAGTACTAAGTCTACTTGTCCGAAGGAACCAGCTCCAACTACACCAAAGGAACCGGCACCAACTTCACCGAAACCGCCTGTTCTTAATGTAAAGGGTTCTACTGAGGAAGTTGGGACAGGTACAGTAGCTGGTGATCCTGCTTCAACCACTTCTATTAACGACGGCAGTCAAGTTACGAACCGTGATCAAGACGGAGCTGATCTCGCTGCTTCTGCTTCTTCTCCTGCCGCTCCTGCAGCTGCTGAAGAGAGTGGTGGTTCCTCCGTCGGTGAAGGTCAAGATGAAAGCAGCAACAATACAGCTGGTGGAACTCCACAAAACAAGGAGAGTGCAGGACAACAGCCTTCTACTACCTCTTCTACCAATACAGTCACAGAGAGTGTTGGTAGCTCTGACACTTCAGCTGAGAACAGCAGTACATCTGAAAGGAGTGAGTCAACAAGAAACCAAGAAGGTGATGTAGGTAATACAGATACACCAAGTACCACCACCACCACCACAACCACAACAACACTTCCTCCTGAGACTGCAAACAACAAGAAGGTTGATGCAGACAGCAGCAGCAGTATTTGCAGTTCTCTGTGGGTGCGTGTACCACTACTGATTGTGGTTACACTGGCCTGTATTCTTGTGTGCTGATTGTAATGGTGGTGATGGTGTGACTCAGGTTATCCTTTGTTTTCTTTTTCTTTTTTGCATACATCCCTACAGTCTAACTAATCTTCCACCTGTTGGGGATTTCTTCTTCTTTTTTGTTTTTCTTAATGTTAATGTGTTTTGTGTGTTTATCCTATAATTATTATTATTGCTACTCCATTGTTTGTGTGTGTTCTTGGAGACTCTCTCCCTGTGTGTGCACCTGGGCTTGCACTGTGATAATGATGATGAACTGTTTTTTGCAGTGAAAAAGGAAAAAAGAAATAACATTAACTGATAAATTTATATTTATAATTGCGTATATATACACATATATAGACTTGCACCCATAGTTGGTGTATTTCATCTGTGTTTATTTGGTAAGTTGGGCTAATGTTTAATATCTTTTTATTTGCTTATGGTTTGCTGTTGGCGTTCTTTGGTTTACTGCGTGAGTCTTTGATGATATGGATGCCCTGTTGTTTTAAAGTTTACTGAATTAGATTCGCTGTATTGCTGTGTTTCTGATTTTTTTTGGTTTCTACAATGTTGAGGTTCTTTTGTGCTTCTCTACTTGTATATACGTCTGGTTTTTGGTATTATGAGCATTTTGTTAATCTCTCATATTTTTCTTTGTAGTTGAGTATTTTCAAGCGAAACCCAACAACCACTATTATGGCTATGCAGATGATGATGGGACACGTGCTGTGCTTACTGTCTGTCATGCTGTACAGCTTCTGTGGAAGTGTTATGGCTAACCAACATCAGGGTTATCGTGGTGTACATGGTGCCCCTGGATTGGCTGGAGTGCCTGGTGGTGTTTATCCTGATCCTTTAGGACTCCACGCCGGTATTCCTGGTGTGCCTGGTGTTGGTGTTCCTCCTAAACATTTGGTGCCCCAACCTGGTATTCATCCTCCTGGTGGTATTGCAGGAGTTTCTGGTGCCAATCGTCAACCTGCTTGGTTTCCTG